ATTGGAAACCCTATTCTCTCATAATGGGCGTAATTGTGATCTGTTCTCTTGCCTAAATTTGCTCGTGCTTTGTCTCAATCAGTCAACCTAAATATTAAAATAATTCGATTAATAAATTCTAAATAATTCTTTATTAATAATGATAAATGTATTTATTTTTAGAAAATGTTAATTAAAATTTTACAGTTCATTTTGTTTCAATTCTTAGGTGCAAACTTTTTGAAGCTAGATTTCTTTTTTAATATAGGCCTTAAAGGCACTAATTTTTGTAAATTTTCCTGAGCAACGAGTGAGCAGTGGGTGTGTATGGGGAGAGCTTCAGCGTGAGCAATGTGGTAATAAATTAACAAAGAATATTTAGAACGTACAGAAATAAAAATCGAACAATTTTAATACGAAATATTCAGTTATTTTTGAAGTAAGTCGAACCTCCAATAACGGCCACCTCTCTTCGACGGTCATCTCTAAACGGCGGCCATTTTCTCGGGAGCTTTTCTTAATGCACACAAAATAACCTCTGAATAACGTCTGTTTACGTTTCCGTCGATGTCCGCTGTTGGCATAATGTTGTTATAAATATAGGATAAGAAAAGGGTAAGCCGTAGAATATTGTCCAGTGCCTCCCGAAACCCATATATATTATTATACAGTAATTATCTGAATTAGAATATGTAATATTAATAATTTATTTTGTAAAAATCGTTAAAAAATAAGTTATCTAGTTATAAAGTGCAATATTTAAAAAAAAATAAAATTATTGCCTAAAAACAGTGAAAAATGACACTATCGACCAACCGATAGATCACGAACTACTTTCAGTGATAGTGCCGGTTTTCTATACATTAGGAGGAGATCAGTAGCTAGAGAGGTTGGGAGATTTAGGTGCGAGTTGTTGTTTACGCTTCTTTACTATTCGAAGCGTGTATTTTTCTTTTGTTTTTGGAAAAAAGTTCGTTAATCGGCTCTATTCTACGGTCTTAAATCAATTTGTATTCCAGGTTCTCTTAAGACAATGTACTTGTCTAAAGTAAAACCTCATTACTGGCAATTTGATTTAGAACTTATCCAATCGCTAGTCAAAAATAGAATCTCCTCCCTCTAACTACTGCAAAAGACCAAAAAAATTATGGCAATTTCATAAGGAATTACCGAAGAGACTCGATAGATTCTTTCATTTTTCTCAAATTTTATTTAATTTTGATTTTTAAATTATGTTGTCGGTAACGTAATTTAAGAAACGAAATTAAGTAACTAGATTTTCGTTTATAAATTACGGTCAAACCTGCCATAACGGACACCTAAACTGCGCCCCCTTTTTTTTGGTCAGGAACGTTTCGCTTTGAAATGCTTAAAATAACCTTCGAACAACGGCAACCTGTAAACGGCGGCCATTTTTTTGTCGGGAGTGTTTTTTGGAATGTATACAGAATAACCTCTAAGCCACGGCCACCTTTAAGAGGCGGCTAGTTTTCAGGAATTTTTTTTTTTGAATATAGGCTATATAAAATAACTTCCAGGCAACGGCCACCTCTGAACGGCGGCTGTTTTCTGAAATATGTACAAAATAACCTGCAAACTACGGCCACTCCTATCGACGGTCGCTTCTATGTTCCAGTCGGTGGCCGTCCTTCACAGGTTTGTAATTGCACTACGTTTGATTAAATGACATTGCTTTGATTCGTTGTTGTTAACACGAATCGGATAAAACATCGACACAATTAATCAATAACGTCATAAATGACGTCATTTTTCTATTGTTTATTTGTGTTGCTGCTGTCGGTAATATTTCCGATTCCCGAATTATCAAGAAAACCTGCGAACAACGGCCATCGAAGAAGACGTAAGAATGGCCGTCTTTCGGAGGTTATTTAGTATACATTTTTTTGATAGAAAAGAGTTTAGAGGTGTCCGTCATTCGGAGGTGTCCATTATCACAGGTTGGACTGTATATATTATAATAAAAAAAGTTTTAAAATAACAATAGTTTAAAAGAATAAGTACAGTATTTAAATATTAAATATTTAACTTAAAAATATTATTTATTAAGTCAATAGAAGGAATTTATTGTGTATATTTTTTTATTGTTTTCCTCTGTTTATTCCATCAAAACACGCGAAATTTTATTAAAATCGATGTCATTTTTTCATTTCATTTAATTTTTTAAATAAAATAATGTTTTTAATTAAAAAAAAATTAATGAAGTAAGAATAAATTAGTCTTGGGGGTGTCTTAACGTTAAAAATAATGACGTCGTTTCTATAGAAGTCACGTAAATTCGTATAAATTATTTATTTTCGACACGCGATGTGTTTTTAGTCATCATCATGAATTTTTCATGAAGGCGCCAGCCATACTTGCTGTATACAGTAACCTACTTATCGTTACTCTTATATACATTTATTGTTGCTTAGATACTAGCATAATAGGAAAAATATTAAGACAGATATACACAGTTTACGTGTGTGTATATGTATATAATCTGTATCGACGATAAGGAACGTTGCTAAGGGGGGTAGGAAACGATCACGTGAAGTGAGTGATGCACCCCTTTGCTGCCATTACAATTGGAGTACACTTATACGACTCGATGATTGATTTACCGGGTGACGATTTAGAAATTATTATATAATGCACACCCTGAAGTTCTTGCGTTGAAGATTCATCGAATTACTTAGTAACGTAACGTAAATTATTAATATTAAGACGAATACTGTTTTCACGTGTACAACTTTGTATCCGAGATAAGAAACGTCACCAAGAGGGTGGAAACGATCACGTGACGAGATAATTAAGTAAATAAATTTCATCGATGTTACCTTAACTCTTTGCTTGTCTTCTGCCGGCGAACGCAATTGGAGTACACTTATATAACTCGATATTTAATATATAATGCGCACCCCGAAGTTCCTGTGTTGAAGATCCATACTTAGTGACGTAATACAAAATATTAAGATGAATAGATACAATTTGTGTGTAAGTTGGCTTTGTATTTAAGGTAAGAAACGTCACCAAGAGGGTGGAAACGATCACGTGAAGAGCTAATTAACTAAATGAATGACAATAGCCAGTGATCAGAATAGCATTTAAACAGCTGAAGTCCACTCACCCTAATTCTATAAATGTCGAGTGTATGATCGATTCCAGACATTTATGCGAGTTCCGGTTACGTAATACACCCAACCTCTTCACGTGCCACTCGTCCCCCCTCCTCCGAAGTTCTGTCGTCGAAGATTAACTTGTAGAAAGTTAAGAATTGTAGAAATTTCTATCTACAAATACTCAATTTAGAAGCCAAATTTCTTAAAATCAGAGCCAATGGTTAAGCTGCTACTTAATTGCAATTATTGGCACTACAATGGCACTATTTACAGAATCTAAATTAAGGAAAAGCAGGGAAAGGATCCATATTTTAATGTATTGGATGTGGTCTGTCATATAATTACATGGTTTATATATTATAGGATGCATGCAGCTGACTTGTTTTTATATAAATTTTAACTTGTCTTCTTTGGGAGTTCAGCAATTTCCTGGATGATTGTTACGATATATTTTGCTAACTTAAACGTAATTTCTAAAAATAGTAAGCACTTATTTTGAAATATTATTATTATTTTTTGTTTTTTTTCCAAAGAAATTTATTATTATAGACGTAAGTTACGTGTAAATTAAAGTTTAAATTATGCTTAATTACTTGGCGTTAACACAGCATACATAATTTTATGCGATTTTTAAAGTTGTTTGTTTTTTAGTAGAAACCCATTTATTTTAAATATTTAAATATGGCCTAAATTTCATTACAGGGCTAATTTATTTTTGGATTTTTATTCAAAGGTTAGAGGTCAAATTCCGTTTTAATTCGATAAGGTCTCGGTGGATTAATTTCCACCCTTTAATTTTTTATTTAATAATAATTTCTAAAAGTTTGAAATTCTCAATTTTTCTCCCTTGTAAGAACTGAGAATACTTTCCTTATTTCCCCCTCCTTGTTCGATAACTTGAGCAAAAACCTACAGTAATTAGACTTGCAACTTAAATTGTAACATGTAACAGGCCCTAAATACTGTATTTACACACGTAAAAATGTGAGGCTCTAAGCTGTAGACACGTAAGCGAGACCCTATCTGTACACTCGTAAAGAGAGGTTTTAGGCCTCACTTTATGATTTTACAACTTAAGCTGCAGCTTGGGTTGTGTATTTTAAGATGAAGGGCATCTTCCTCTCTAATATTACTGATAAATACAAAGTTAATACAAGCTGTCTGTATGTAACCGTGTACAGTAATACTGTTTGTGTTATCCGAACACCGAATTTGCATCCGAACAATAAAGGATAAACACACATTCTTTTATATTATAGATTCTCATAGAGCCAGTGTATTATAAAGGGTGCGCTATTCATTACAGACAAATCGATGAAATTCTGTATTAATCTATATTAATCTACAGTGGTGTGACCCATGTTTTAAGTAAATTTTGAAGAATTTTACATACGTAATAATAATAAAACAGTTATAGGGAGGGAAATACGTATCTTAAGAGCAGTTAAGAAATAATGGCAAAGTAAATAGGGCGAATATTCCTCCCGGTGGCAAGTCGAAAGAACTTGACGTTTTGAAAGAACATTATTTTCAATTTATTCCGAGTGCGGCTCAATCAATCATCTCACCAACCACGATCGTCTTTTCATGAAAAAAAAGGACACACACACCAAAAAAAATCGACATTGTGGCGGATCGTTACTTAATACAGGTTCTTCTATCATCTCTCGAGCCTCGGGGGGATTCAAAATGGCATAATTTAACACACAATTTCTCCTGTTAAAGAAGAACAATATGAAGTCACACACGCTAACATACATATCTAGAAGTAATGGGATTGTACGTTTGAGTTAAGAGTTACGTGTTTGAATCGAGTGGCATCACCCTCCGACCTCGATTTCTCGCCTGTCATTCACTCGTGCGCAGGGGGGAGAGAGTGGAGAGCCGAAAAGTATACGAGGTTTCGGTTCTTAGAAGGACGTCTCGGCGAAGCCAGAAATATCTTTTGCTAGAATAAACATTGTCTACGTCTCCACGTTACACAGCTGAATGCCGACTACGTATGTTGCAGCTTGGTGTTGCGCGGGTGTGGTGGCACAGGACTTCTAAATCGACATTCCACGGCGTAATACGACACTTATGCTCCTGTTATAGTAAGTGTTATTGTTATTTATATACGTGTACTTCGTAATATTTGTTGTGTGCTGCAAATACTTTCAAAATTCTCTTGTTTTCTTTTTTTTTTTTCCCGAGTGTTATCGAACTGTTTGGTGCCTGTTACTTATACTCTGGAGTGTTTTTTTAAAGGAACTAATGCTGTTTACTTTCTAAAAATGCTGTTTATTTCTTATCGCTAAAATTCTTTTTCTGTAACGAAAGTACCTGCAGTCGTAAATGCTTATCGACGATCTCAAACTTGGCATTTTATTGGAAAACCTTTTCCGTGTTAATCGCCCTCGCTAATATATATTTATATATAAAGTAAAACTTGTGTAAACCGGATATTTCTTTCTGTTTCTGGCAGGTTCTGGGTTTTTTTTCATTCTTTTTTAGCACAGAAAATCGCTCCGTTTCGAAGAATTTTTTTCCGTTTTGGACAGGTCTTACTGTGTATTCTCTGTGTATAATAACTAAATTGTCGTATATTTATCGATTATATTCAATTGCCTACGCTTTTAAATTATTTCTAATCCATAATTTAAATTATTTTTTATTAAATCGCGAGTAGTTTAGCGACACGAGGGGAAGAGAATATCAGATTATTTTTGATGGTAGATTTCTCGCTAAATCTGTTTACTTAAAGCACCGTTCAAAAAATCCATTAACAGACAAAGTATCAGGAGAGGAAAAAAAGGGAACTTTCTCACATTCCAGCGATAAATTTGCCAAACTGTCCGTTCTTAATGGAGCTTCTCTGTGGCATGTTACCTCATCATCTAATGTAGACAGCTGGTGCGCTGACTATCACTAACTTGTTAAGGGAGATCCTCGTCTACTCTTTATAGCCGAATTATATTTATTTCTTTAAAAATGTATACACTTTAATATACTATACGTGGGTGTATATAATATAAATTTAAAGATTTTATATATATATAAAAATACCCTCTTTACTTTGCGGTGGTGCGATTTACTTGGATAAGAAGTGGGGTGCTGTTACAGTTTGTAGGTGGAGGCTATTGAAGAAACATTTATCGTTGCTGCTATTTTCTAAATCTATATACAGCATTTCGTTGGCAAAAACATCTGGTGCAAACCCATAGAATGATCTTTTCCACTAGAAAGATGAAAGGTCAGTTTGTGTCGACTGACATCTTTTCTAAGATGAGGGAGATTAGTTCTTTCTCTTAAAATAATACACGGCTTGTTCTCATATAAAGCATAACTTTGTGTAGAAAAATTAACTTTTATATAAAATTGAGTTGCTGCAGTTTATATTATTATAAACTCGAATCTTCTGCAGGGAATTCTAATCAATATTCAGTTAAAGTAAAAATATTATATGCGCATTTCTTAGTACTAGAAATTCCATACATTTGAATCGGGAAACATTATTTTAAATCAAGACTAGGCTTTTTTTTTACTGTTTTGTATTGAAATTTTAAATATACCCTTCGTGATTTGCATGTCTTTGTTTAGATCTAGAAGAAAGGGTCGAGATCACGGTGAAAGTCCGTAATTTAAATTGTAGAGAAGGAAATCTCTCTCCATCTTCCAACGGCAATTTCTTTGTTTATCAGAAATTTTAGTTGATGAACGGGATCGGGAGCTAAAAATAATCGCTTTAATTAAAATTGGCCGCGTATATTCAACAAAATACGGAAGGAGGAATCCCTGACGTAGAATTCCTCACCCCATTGATGAGAATTAATAACCTCAATATTGATTTACGCATCGATATTCTAGATAATCAGTTTCTCTTTACGATATTTTCTGCAACGTAAATTTCTATTTGATGACAGATGTAGAAGGATAATCATATAGTAGCATTATAATTACTGTATATATACAATACATCTAAACTGTATAGAAACGTAGATGTAACTGCTTACCGTACAGCTGTATAGAATTTAATTTTGTTTCCAGTATTGTAACTTTGTTCTAAGTTTGTGATTTATAGTAACTTTATACCAATTGCCCGTGGCAATTTCGTCTTTCACAGTAGAAATGCTTCAGTTAAAAGCTTTATTTTTTGTTGCTCGTTTCTTTCATAATAGGCCGAATAAAAGGAGAAAGTGTTGCTTTTTTGCCAAAAAAAAAAATCGATTCGGAGATTTTGATTGATGTATAGGCTGCATTTTGAAGTGTCCTGACACGATATGATTTCTCTGAAATCCATGTCTGCGCGTATCCATGCCACAATGTGCCACTTTACGATATTTTTTAAAGTGATGTTTTCCTGCTGAAATCTACGTAGATTTCAGCTGGAAAAACCTATGTAAACCGGAATTGCCAGTACCGTTGGCAGGTTTCCGTTTTAAATAGATGCTTTTTAATGTAGAAAATGGCTGTGTTCCTAAGAATTATCTGTTTTTTTTTTCCTGGTTAGGCAGGCTTCCCTTTATTCAGGCTCCGTTTTAAACAGGTTTTACTGTTTCTTCCTTAAGTTCTTTCTAATTTACGATCAATTATTTTTATATTTCTCAGAAGTTCAGTCGTGTTTTTTGGAAGGATTCACATGATCCATTCTTAAAGTCCTTTCCTCTGCGTAATTGTAGCTCAATTTGAAGAATTATCCGAGTAAATATGGAAATTTATACATTAATTTTGTATAAAAGTACATTTTTCCATTAATTTTCTTTGAGATTAAAGAAATGATCAAACTCTGCTGAAGTTTTTATGAGCACGGAAAGAATAGAAAAAAAAATATTTCAGTCGATTGCCTTTACCATAAAAGATGAAAATTATATATCATTTAATTTATTATAATTAATTGCAATTAAATATTTTTATTATCTTCATTAATTTTATTTAAATAAATTCTCTAATGACTACTTTTTTCGAGTTTAATTACCTCGAAGGATCTTAAAAACGTCTTGAAACTTGAAGATTGCATTTAAATTTTTGGGTTAATTTCAATGTAATTAAATTTTTTCGGGTAGACAAGTGTCCATTTTATGTTACAGAAAAACTGATTACTTGTTTGACTTCAGTTACAACATTTAAAAAATTTCTTTTAAGTCTGTCATATTTCAATTCCGTTCCGTTAACTTCTCATCTCTTGAAGCATGGACGTGTAATCTTGGGTGCAAAAATCATCATTTTTTTCATTTAAATTATGCTGTCACGCTTCGAATAATTTGCATAAATGCATAATTCTCATAAATCTTGAATCTTATCGCAGATAAAACGTGTAAAAAGTTACTTAAAAAACAAAATAATGAATCCACGATGCAATGTGCCCACGTTGCAATACACCGTATGCCATATTTTTCATAGTATTTTTCACTTAATCTAATTAATTTTAATCATATACAGTTAAACCTGTCCAAGACGGAAACCGATTAAAACGGAAATCTGTCTAAAGGGAAAAATTCTTCGAAACGGAGCGATTTTCTATGTAAAAAGAACCCGTTTAAAACAAAAACCTGTCAAATTGGAAAAATATTTGGAACCGTGCGATTCCCGTTTACACCGGTTTTATTGTAGGTAATATATAGCCTATATATAAATTAGTGGAAATGATTAATTTCTTGTACAAAATTCATTTGAAAAAATTGTATTCAGAATTTTATTAATTATTCTGCGAATTTATGTTAATAATAAGAAATTTAAGCTTAATCTAAAGAAAATACACAAACTTAATCGATATAATTCCAAATGAATTAACAAATAACAGTAATTTGTAGAATCGTTTACACTAGGAAATTCCCACATCAACAGAGTGCTACTTGCGAAAATGTTACTAAATTAACCCACTTCTTTTAAATATAGAACACTCCTTTAATCCCTTTCTCCTCTTTTTTTAGGACCTCTCAACCTTCCGCTTTGATTGTTTTTAGAATGCCTTCGTGTTTTCCTACCGCATTGGCGGCATCAGACATCAAAACACAACCCCAAAACACCAAAAAATAAACTAAAATACCATAAAAAAAGTATTTTCCATTTGTATATTTCGTTAAAAAAAAAAGTAAACTTTACTTTCAAAAATGCTATTTATGGAATTTTATAGAGGGGTGAATATTCTTGTATTGGAGATTTCGTGTCTGATGGAAGAAATTCCGATTTTTTTTTTTACTATTTATAGGCGATCGCCGATCGTCACTTTGCATGAATGCCTTCTAAATACGCGGGTATAAAATTGAAAATGGTGTTTCTTATCCCGTCATCTGTGCTGGATAATGTTAACACCTCTAAGCAATGCTGCCTTCCATCACAGATTCCATGCTATCGATCTTCCCGTCTCGTCTCACTAACTGCTGCCAATTTTCTAAGGCCAACAACTACTCCCTTCCGTTTTCACTGTTCTCTGTGATAAAATAAAAGTCTCTTTTAGCTGTTTATACCGAAAACTTTCTCATTTAATTCTTTACAATTTAGGAAAGAGGTTGATGCTCTTGCTCTTCCGTGGCTATTCACCAATCTTCTTCTTCCATGTTTCTGCATCTCGTAAGCTCGTAATTTCATGATTTATGTTATAATTCAATAAAAAATAAACCGTAAATAAATGGTTTATATCATTAATTAATTAATTAATATTCTATAATTTAAATTTACCTGACTAAATTAACAGTTGAGGTGACGAGTTTTAAGGCGAGGAGGTGATTCGATTTAATTCGTTTCCAGTAAAAATAATTATGAAAATAATTTAAAATTTAATAAAATCATTATTTAAAACTATAAACAATTTACTAAAGCAATTTTTTTTCATAAAAAGTCGGCGAAATTCTTGTTATATCGATTGTAAGCGAGCGATATATTTAGAATTTGCGAAACTTTTTTTCGGTGTTTCGGAATTAAAAATTCATTCTTCTAACGATAAATTGTCGTTAAAATGTCTTAGATAATATAATTTTCATAATATAAATTCTAAATTTAGCTTAAACCTGGCCTAATTTATGAATTATGATCGAACCTCTCTATAACGAGCGGCGAAAATATCCTATTAAAAAACGTGTCCAGTAAGGAGTTGCGTAACTTTCCCGGCAAAAAA